GGGTGGGGGTGCGGTGGGGTGGAGGGGTAGTAGGGTGGGTGGTAACGGAAAAATTAAAATTGAAAAAAAAAAAATCTTTTTTGAAGAGGGGGTGGGGTGGGTTGGTGAGGGTAGGGAAGGTTGAGAAGAAGTTTTGGAAAATGTTTTCCTTTCTCTTTATAAGGAAAAATATTTTCCCCCATTTGGAGGAAAATGAGTTATTTGTCAAAATATTTAAAACATTTTCCGGAAAATGTTTTCCTTCATACCAAACACACCCTTAGACTGCTAAACTTGATACAAGCTTAGTGACATTAGGTGCTTGAATTAGAATTCAGCACTTGGTTATGGCATTGATTCTCACTTTTCCTTCTCTCAGAAAATGTATACGCTTTAGAAGATGTATGTGCTGTTGAATATACTATAGTATTAGGCTTTGTCTTTATAATTAGCATCTGGTGATCACATTGTGAATCAAGTGAACTAAAAATATTGAGACTCAAATCTGGTGAAAAAAGTTAATGTGGTATATCTGAAAGATAACATGAATCTAGGTTCCATGCAATTCAATTGAAGACTGTGAACAATTAGCCTGGCATTTTGCTGGACTTTCTACTTAAGACTGCCACTTTGGGCCAAATTTGATGCCTTTCTAACGAATCTAGTGTGTTTCGTTGTAATCTAAGTTCCAAGCTTCTTGTATTTTTAATTTCTAGTAATGCTGATTTCATCCTAATTTCAAGCTTTGCATCTGGTCTACTCTTGTTCAGAAGTATCTACTACTCTTTTGTGTTCTGTCCTTAACATTTGTTCTTTTTTTCTCCCTACGGGATTTTTTTTAGTCCTTGATAGCTGCTGAAAGTGAGTCCTTGCTAAGAAAATATATGATTTTGATGTCTCCATCTATTAAGTGTAGTTGTATAGGAAATAATTTCGAATGGATTTGGTTCTTCTTTCAGCAACATCAACTGAAGCTATTTTGGCTTTTTGATCCATCTTTTTGGTGGTTTCTTTTGTTTTCCTCTTCTTCTCGTAATATTTTCTGTCGATTGAAATGCTTTTTATCTTTTATTATTTGCTTGCTTTTTTAATTTTCCACAAGGAGAGCATTGGATTATCGCGACATTTATAATTCTTAGTACTGCCTTATTACCAGTAATGCCCTGGTATCAGCTGGGAAACATCTTTCTATATTGTATGCATATGATTTGGTTTACATTTCAATTTATATTATATTATGCTATATTTGAATGATCACTTTTCTTGTCTTAACACAACTTTGCTTTCTTGTAGGACATGAGGAATCATTTTTGCTCGTCCACAACAACGGTGAGAACCCTTTGATGCTGAAGGTCAATGTTTCACCTGCAAACAAAGCGTATGATAATGTTCAGATACCAAGACATGATGTCAAGCAGGTAAAGAACTCTTCCTTTCTGAATTACTGGCTTTTGTGCTGACAAATACCAAGATTGCGAAATAACAATGGTAAACGTTATTTCTTCATTTTTTGGTGCCAATTGAGGAATTCTGGATGTTGAACGGCTGAAATGAAGAAATAAAGTTTACTATTGTTCAGTTCTGACTCAAAAATGAACTTGACATTAGTTTAATCATTCCTAGATCTTTGTTATTCCAAGTTGTGTCATTCTTACTAGTATTATTAGTACTATTCGTCTATTTTTTTTTTTAATTTCTAGATCTTTGTTATTAAACGTAGTGTCTTTGTCTTTTCTTGTTGTTATTGTTGGTTGCTTCCTATTTACTGTTTCTTAAGCCGATGGTCTATCGGAAACAGCCTCTCTACCTTCATAAGGTAAGAGGGATAAGGTCTACGTACACACTACCCTCCCTAGACCCTACTTGTGGGATTACTCTGGGTTTGTTGTTGTTGTTGTTGTTGTACATTAGTTTACTCATGTTTCTTTTTCGTTCAGTGATATGGTGAGAATGTATTGATTTAATGTGTTGTTTCTGTGACCGTGTTTTTCAACCTTCCAAATCATGAAAGTGAACTTAATGTGCTGATCCTGATTCCATGCTTTTCAATTTCTCATTTCGTAAATCAGATCAATATCCCGTCTAAAATTGGAGCGAGTTCATCAACAATTATGCTAGACGCTGGAACTGGGAAATGTACGATTGACATCAGACGTTCAGTATGGCAAGGCTTCTTTAACTTGCCATATTCTTATACCACGTATATTACCCCCACGAATGGGGCATATTTGCTAGGTGTAACAGCTCTTCTAATCGGAGGAATATTCATCTGCTGCAAGTTAAGAAAACAGGATCGACATCTTGATGGCGTTGCATATCAGGAACTTGAAATGGGAAAACCAGAACTTCAATCTTCCATCAAGTTGGAAACTAACACTGAAGGGTGGAATGAGAGTTGGGACGACGATTGGGATGAAGAAGAGGCAGTGAAGTCACCTGGTGGAAAAAACATTAGCAGAAAACTAGCAAATGGTTTTGATGATTCGCATCATAGTTAACATAAAGACAGATTTTGTTGCATTTTCTTGAAGATTCATAGGAAAAACTTAAGGGTGAGAAGTATATAGAGTAGATGTTAAACAGGAATAGGAAACTGCTACAGAGTAACAATTTTAAACATTTCGAGTTGTGGTGGGACCAGTTAAGTTCTAACGTCCCAGTTTTCGTTGGAACCAAATTTATATGTTATGATTCTCTATAACAATATTTTACTATAGCAGTCAAAAAATATCAGAACAAACAAAGCTCTTATAGAGAGATTTTGACTGTACTTTACTTTTTCTTTTTTCATTCTGAATATGCCTATAGTTTTCTAACTTTCCTATGTCTTGTTTTATGCTTAATTTTTCACAAATACTGCTTTTGGACATTTGCTGTTTAATGCAAAATGATTTGGTGATTTGTGATTTCTTCTATGATAAACTTGCCTTAAGTTCAGCAGCTATTACTACATAATGCAATAAATCGCATTCAAAAATGCGACTTATATATCGCAGTTCAACAATGCTACGTATAAATCGCATTTCAGGAATGTGAGTTATAAGTCGCATTTACTTGGTGATGGTATTTCTGAAATACCGACACTTATTTAGCCTTTGAAACACTCGGATGTCAAGACTAAGATGTCAATTAATGCAATGCCGAGGATATATAGACTGATTCATCTTATCTTAACAGAATATTTATGCCTACAAAAATTATGGGAATGTATAGAGACTGATAATTTGAAAAATACGTACATAGCAAAATCTATTACTTGATATTCGAAATGCCATTTCACAAAAAAAAAAAATATTGAGTTTTTTTTTAAAATTAATCTTCTCTGACTAATTAGCCATATGTTCAATCTATAATTATTTAAATGTCTGCCCAAATAAAGCGGAAACCTTATTCATTCATCTCAACAACCTCAACCAAATCATGAATAAACAGCTTAAAATATGGACCTTTCTTAATTCAAAATCTGTCACCACAATTGGTTGAAAAGATTCAACATCTCTTCCATATCTTTGATTAAAAAAAAAAAAAAAAAAGACAAACATGTGAAAGGCGACACGTACTCTCTGAAATATATAGTCAAGGTGCATGCATGCGAGAGTTTGACTCATACATCATCATTATAAAAATTGACAAATAATAACAGACTAGAAAAATTCAACCGTAAATTACACCAGTCATCCAAACTTAAGTCTTATTAAGGCTAAAAAAAAATGTTTATTTCAATGATGGTGGTTGTGTTCATCTAATCCAAGACACTGAATGAAGATAGAACAGACTAGCAAACAAGGGCAGCAACAACATGACACTAACGGATCATCATCTGGGCTGTTTCCTTTAGCTCGGTAATGAAGATTGTAATTATAACGACCCATAGATACACAAAACTATTGATTACTCGGTGTTCGACAGGTAAAATATAACGAGTTTAAGTTATATACACCATCAACATAAGGAATTTTTACACCATTTAAATCATTTTTACTTGTTGTAACATATAACCTGTCTTATTTAATTTTCAAGATATCAAACCCCACATTTTAAGGAGTTTTGTCAGTAGATATTCTTTGAATGAAAACATTGTATAACTTAAATGAGCAAAGATCAAGAAATCAACAAAAGAGCATATAACATACCTTGTGATATGAGCTTCCTCTTTCTTTGTCTAATTTTTTTGGAAATCTTACTCTATTTAAAGAAAGCAAAGATTGAGAATTACCTATAAAAAGGGAGAGTGCTTAGCTGGTAGGAATATTGTTCCTAGTTGAGCTATTTTAACATTTTGCAATATTGGCTACCCTGGTCTTTTTTTATCCATTAAAAACAGTCTATTCCAATTGGACTAAATAATAAGAGTAGCATTCACATGGGTGGTTGAGTTGGAATTGGAAATTAAAAATTGCAAAAAGTTTTATTTAGTAGAATGCATCGTGATGATAGGCTATAATTGCATATTTTAGTCGCTTATTACACTCGAATTTACTGCACTTTAATTGAGTTTGCGCTTTAATCGCTAGTGTTTTGCACTAATTGTGTGTTTTATGCCTTGTAGGTGTGATTCCGAGCTATATAGATGTTATGGAATGAATTTAAGTGATTTTAAACTTTGAAGTCTGAGTAAAAGCTCAAGGAATTAAGCCGGGATCGTGTTCGGGGGTCAAATTTGATAATTAAGCACGAACGAAGACTTGAGGAGGCATATTGCGCACTGTCTAGTAAAATAGACATAACTTTTTGCTCAGAACTCCATTTGGGCTCCACAATATATGGTTGGAAAGCTAACTCAAAGGGCTACAACTTTCATGTTTTACGTTTTTCCAAATTCCAAACGGAACAGGGTGAAAAATCGCGGTTTTACCGCGACCGCGGCAGAACCGCGGTGGAAGGCATTTTCTGAAGAATGAAGAATCCGCGAGGGCGTTTGGCCGCGGTTCCACCGCGATCGCGGTGAAACCGCGGTGGGAAGCGTAAATTTCAGGGGCTAAAGTGTAAAACATGGGATTTTAAGTCCTAAACCCTATATAAAACAAAGGAGGCCGGCCTAGAACAAGGGGAGGACATATTTTGGACACAAATTAGACCTAAGGAGGCGGAGAGACACTACTTTAGGGTTAGACAACACCCTTGGAGGCAAGAACACATTGGGAGCAAGGCGGGGAATTCTTCTACGAGTTTTTTTCCTTCCTCTTCCTATTTTTAATTGTTGGTTATGACTTTTAGTATTGTAGTTTTACATACTATTATGAATAGCTAATTTGTTATCTAGAGTTTTGATAGAACCTTTTGTAGGATAAATTCTTGTTATGTTTTTATATAATTGAGCCATAGCTTTTCTCTATTTGTTCAACTACGTTTATATTGTGGTTGGTTGAAGAGCTCTCAATTAGCTGTGCCTATATAGTATGCATAACTCGGGAGAGAGTGCATATTTAGGTAATTGTTGAACAACACCACTCCCAAAGTATATGAGGGATCAATAACCGAGGGTTTAAAGGCGGGATTAGGGATAACGAAGCCTTGGGTGCGATCTAAAGTGAGCTGTATTAAAAGCCAGCTAGCGTATCTCGGGAGAGTGCGTCTAGTAAATTGTCGTAATTACTCGGGAGAGATTTACGGTAATAAGAGTGCTCATGATCGGTAGAGAATACTTAGGCGAAATTATAGAAGACATAGCAGGAAGGATTCCGACAATTGGGGAAATCATAACTCTAGACCTCCTTAATCTTTTCTCTAGCCCTCAATATCTTTAGTTGTTAATTTACTATTTTAATTTGTTAGTTAAGTAGTTAAACACAAGAATCTTAATATCTATAAGTTAGGAATTGTTCAAGCTTGTCTTCTTGGTGATAGTGAACAGCTGTAGCTAAACCTTAGTTCTCTGTGGGATTCGACTCCGGACTTGTAAACCGGATTATATTTGCAACGACCGCATTGTCCTTTTTATAAGGCATAGTTGGGCGTGATCACATCGTTCATTCACACTTATGTTTTAGCACCCATTTTGTCTATACATGGTTGAAGTTGAAAAAGGGAATATTTTAAGTTGCAATTGACAAAAATAATATGTAGATGTTGACACATTGTTTCCACCATTTTCTTCCCCTGTTCTTGGAATTTTTGTAATTAAGGGTGATTAGTATGGACGATTTTTTTCAATTTTTAATATTTGATTATCAAAATGTTTTGAAAAAAAAAAATTTCTCTAGGAAAACAAGTTTCTTTAAAAATAAGGAAAATGACTTCTCTAATTGGAACAGGGAAAACAAGATCCATGCGTGCCCATCACTCCACCCATCCTCCATTACCCCCACCGCCGACCAACCCAACCAAACCCCCCCCCCCCCCCCCGCAAACCTCCCACACCCAACCTATCTACTATCTTTCCAAAGAATAGGCTAATAAATTACTTTTTTGATTGAGCAAATGTCAATCTTATAAATCCAATTATCTCATACTAAAAGCAACTGGTAATACCAAAGTCAACTTTTCAGAAAGTTCATATTTCCTGAATATCCAATGAGCACCCCAATTTAAGGTACTTTAACATTTAGTTGATAACTTGATATTGTTCGAGTATTGTTAATACACTCTTACTCTACGTTGCAACTGATAAAAAATAATACAAAAGTTTGTGATTGTTATGACTCTGTTGGGGTTTATTCGTGTTTCATATAAAGATTATCATTGTTGTTTCCTTGCCGGGATGTTGATGTTATATTATTGTTCCTTGCCGGGATGTTGTTGTTATATTGTTGTTCCCTTGCCGGGATATTGTTGTTATACCATTGTTCCCTTGCCGGGATGTTGTTGTTACATTATTGTTTCCTTGCTGAGATTCTTTTACGATTGGTGTTGTAATCAGCAGAACCGACACCATGTGCTGGTAAGTGCCTAGCCTAACCTTTTTATAGCTCTCCCAACCACTAAATCTTGGCTCAAGCTTTTGCAAAGAAGATTATTTTTTTTTTCTGGTGAGCTGGCCGTCTGTCTGCCTATTAAGTTGAGCATGTTCCAATTAAGAAAGAAGGCATACACTTCAATCTTAATAGTCACAATCTCAAATCCCTTCTAGTGATCGTGAAGAGTCACCATTACCACAATTGTTGGTTACTCCTGTGCCTTTAGAAGAACATGAGCAAATTCCGATTTATAATCATCATTCATCTGAGTTCAGATTTTTATTCTAGCAGACCTGTGATTTTTGTTAGTTAATAGTGGCTTTGTCTTTAAGTGAGCGGTGGGAGAAGAGGGTATGGTTGATGGTAAGAAGAGGAGGAAGACGACATCCATGGGGGTTTAGATGGGGAAGCTATATTTTAAGATGGCTAAGGGATATAGTTGTAATTTTAAGTGATTTATTTTTTGCTAAAAAAAGAAATTATACGTGTCAGGACTTTATTGGTGCGCGATATTACACATATTCCGAAAAATTGGTTTAAAAAAAAAGTAGTGTGCATTAGACACACTTTGAAAAGGTTGAGTGTGTAAAGTAATTTTTGTCCGCAAAAAGTGTGTAACAGGGATTTGGTCCATAGTTCAGGGGGTAACTTATGTATTTTGCCCTCTTATGTGTCGTCTTATTTTGCGCCGTGTCTGGTCATGCCCAGTGATTCTCTGAGTGCTCCTGTTTATGTGTCCACCCCGGTGGGTGATTCTATTGTGGTAGATCGTGTTCTTGCGTGGTTGTGATTGGGGGTCTTGAGACCCGAGTAGACTTATTACTGTTGGACATGGTCGATTTTGATGTCATACTAGGGATGGACTGGTTATCACCTTACCACGCCATCTTGGATTGTCATGCCAAGACCGTGACCTTAGC